CCAGCAATCACACTCCTGGGCATATATCCATACAAAACTATAATTCAAGAGGATACGTGCACCCCTATGTTCATAGCAGTGCTATTCACAATAGCCAAGACATGGAAACAACCTGAATGTCCATCAACAGATGAATGGATAAAGAAGATGTGGTACATATACACCACATAGATATACCATATATACCATTTGCAGCAACATGGATGCAAGTAGAGATTATCACACTAAGTAAGTCAGATATCATATGATATCACTTATATATGAAATCTAAAATATGACACAAATGAACCTATCTATGGGACAGAATAGAATCACGGACATAGAGAACAGACTGGTGGTTGCCAAGGGGGAGGGAATGGGGGAAGTGATGGATTGGGAGTTTGGGATTAGCAGATGCAAACTATTATATATAGAATGAATAAACAACAAGATCCTACTGTATAGCACAGGGAACTATATTTAATATCCTACAATAAACCATAATGGAAAATAATATTTTTTTTAAAAAAAGCAGGGTGTCAAAGAGATATTTGTACACTCATATTCATAGCAGCATTATTCACAATAGCCAAAATGTGGAAGCAACACAAGTGTCCATCAAGAGATGAATGGATAAGAAAAATGTGGCACATACATACAACGGAATATTATTCTGCAATATGCTACAGCATAAATGAATCCTGCGGACTTTATACTGAGTGAAATAAGCCAGTCACCAAAGGACAAATACTAAACGATTTTACTTTTATGAGGTACTTAGAGTAGTCAAAACCATAAAGACAAAAAGTATAATGGTGGTTGCCAGGGGTTGGGATAGGGGATAATAGGGAGTTATTGCTTAATAGGCATAGAGTTTCAGTTTTATAAGATGAAAAGTGTTTACAGGATAGATGGTGATGATGGCTGCACAACAACGTGAATGTACTTAATACCACAGAATTGTATACTTAAAAATGGCTAAGGTGGTACATTTTATATTATGTATATTTCAAAACAATAAAAAAGTCCTTTAAGACAGTTGCTTGCCTATATGCCAGCAATGAACAAGGGGAATTTGAAGTTTAAATCACAATCATTTACTTTAGCACAACTTCCCAAAATGAAATACTTAGGTATAAAGTTAACAAAATGTGTATTATATCTTTATGAGGAAAATTATAAATTCTGATGAAAGAAATCAATGAAAAATTAAGTAAATGGAGAGATATTCATGTTCATGGATAAGAAGACTCGATATTGTTAAGATGTCAGTTCTTCCCAATTTGATTTATAGATTCAACACAATTCCAATCAAAACACCAGAAAGTTATTTTGTGGATATTGACAAACCAATACTAAAGTTTATATGGAGAGACAAAAGACCCGGAATAGCCAACACAATATTAGGGAGAAGCACAAAGTTGCAAACTGATACTGCTTGACTTCATGACTTCCTATAAAGCTACAGTAACCAAAACATAGTGGTATTGGTGAAAGAAGAAACAAATAGATCAATGGAACAGAATAGAAATCTCAGAAATAGGGACTTCCCTGGTGGTCCAGTGACTAAGACTCTGCGCTCCCAATGCAGGGGGCCTGGGTTCAATCCCTGGTCAGGGAACTAGATCCTACATGCCGCAACTAAGAGTTCTCATGCTGCAACTAAAGATCCCGTGTGCCGCAACTAGGACCTGGTGCAGCCAAATAAATGAATAAATATGTTTTTTACAAAAAGAAATCTCAGAAATAGACCTACATAAATACAGTCAACTGATCTTTGAGAAAGGAGCAAAGGCTGGGAAATCCCTGGCAGTTCAGTAGTTAGGACTTCATGCCTTCACTGCTGAGGGCCTGGGTTCAATCCCTGGTTGGGGAACTAAGTTCCACAAGCTGCGAGGCACAGCTGAAAAAAAAGAGAGAGAGAGAGAGAGAGAGAGAGAAGGGAGCAAAGGCAATACAATGGAGAAAACACCGTCTTTTCAACAAATGGTGCTGGAACAACTGGACGTCCACATGCAAAAAGAAAATGAATCTAGACACAGACCTTACGCCCTTCACAAATGTTAACTCAAAATGGATCATAGACCTAGGTATAAAACGCAAAATTATAAAACTCTTAAAAAACAACGTAGGGCGTAGAGAATGGACTTGAGGGCACAGGGAGGGGGAAGGGTAAGCTGGGACGAAGTGAGAGAGTGGCATGGACTTACATATACTACCAAATGTAAAATAGGTAGCTAGTGGGAAGCAGCTGCATAGCACAGGGAGATCAGCTCAGTGCTTTGTGACCACCTAGAGGGGTGGGATAGGGAGGGTAGGAGGGATATGGGGATATATGAGGGAGGAGGTATGGGGATATATGTATATGTATAGCTGATTCACTTTGTTATAAAGCAGAAACTAACCCACCATTGTAAAGCAGTTATACTCAATAAAGAGGTTTTAAAAAAAAATAACGTAGGGGAAAACCTAGATAATCTTGGGTATGGCAATCACATTTTAGACACTACATCAAAGACACCATCCATGAAAGAAATTATTGATAAGCTGGACTTCCTTAAAATTAAAAAATTCTGCTCTGTGAAAGATGCTATCAAGAGGATGAGAAGACAAGCCACATACTGGGGGGAAAATCTGCAAAAGACATATCTGAGGGCTTCCCTGGTGGCGCAGTGGTTGAGAGTCCGCCTGCCGATGCAGGGGACACGGGTTTGTGCCCGGGCCTGGGAGGATCCCGCATGCCGCGGAGCGGCTGGGCCCGTGAGCCATGGCCGCTGAGCCTGCGCGTCCGGAGCCTGTGCTCCGCAACGCGAGAGGCCACGGCAGTGAGAGGCCCGCGTACCGCAAAAAAAAAGAAAAAAAAAAGACATATCTGATAAAGGAATGTTATCCAAAATATACCCCAGAACTCTCAATTTCAACAATAAGAAAACAAACAAGCCAATTAAAAATTGGGAAAAACACCCGAATAGACATGTCGCCAAAGAAGATATACAGATGGCAAATAAGCTTATGAAAAAATGCTCTACATCATATGTCATTAGGAAATTGCAAATTAAAACAAATTAAATTACCTGTGGCCAGTAGGGCAGGTCCACACTTGGGCTGGCCTGCAGCCATGCTTTTGCTGGCCCTCCATGTCGACCAAGTATCCACTGACATGGGTGAGAGGCTCTTCCTGTACACCTAGCACAGCCAGGGCTCCTTGGTGAGACTGGTGCACAGCAAATATGGCCAAAGGAAAAAAAAGAAAGAAAAAACCCTCAAAAAATGTATAACACCAAGAGTGAACCCTAGTATAAACTGTGGACTTTGGGTGATGATGTGGCAATGTAAGTTCAATGATTATAGGGAATGTGTCACTCTGGTGTGGGATGTTGATAGTAGGATAGGCTCTGCATGTGTGAGGACAGGGGTTATATAGGAACTCTCTGTACTTTATGCTCAATTTTTCTGTGAACCTGAAACTGCTGTAAAAAATAAAGCCTGTTTAAAATAAAATAAATGAAATGTGGTTTTCAGAATACCAGCTCCAACATCACAGTGGTACATAGAAGGGTGGATTTGAAGCCAAAAGACATAATAATCAGCACACTCTCCTTGCAGACAATACAAGAAACCTTGAACAATTTACTTTATTCATCAAGTTCCCAATGTGTGTTATTGCTTTGGTGTGTTTTGATTCCATCTTAATAGTTAAACCCCATCTGAAACTCTATAATGATGGATGTGATGTGGGCCTGATTTGTTTTGCTATCAGTGTGCCCTTTCAATTTAGAGACTCAGTTCTCCATTTCAGGATAATACTTTAAAATAATTTCTGTGATTATTTCTTCCATTCTGAGTCTCTGCTCTTTTTGTGGAACTGTCATTATTCAGATATTCAACTTGCTGGACTGATCCTTTGCTTTTTATTAATTTTCTCCTAAAGTAGAGCAAATTTGATTTTCAACTTTATCCTCCAGTCTTTCTACTGAATTTTTATTTCTATCATGGTTTTGATTTCCAAGAGCTCTTTTTTTCTTACCTGAATAGTAGCTACTTTTAAAAATAGATTCCTGTTGTTATCTTACACACACAATATATTATCTCTCCGAGGATCTTGACGGATTTTTTGTTTAATTTTCAGTTGCTTTTTCTCCCTTGCGATTTGTTTCCTCTAAGTTGCTCTTTTTCTTCTTGCTTGTTTTGGTTTCTTCCTTGTACATTAAATACGTTCCTTAAATGTTTTATGATCCTTGGCTGTCTGCTTATATTTTAGAATGAGGATATTAAAAAGCTGATTGGAAAGATTGTGTGAGGGCTGGGGCACCTAGGCCAAGGGCTTAATTGTAGGATTCCTTCACCTATTTCTTTAAGAGAAGCCTGATGAGAGTATCTTTGGGATTTCTCTTTGGGGCTGGACAGATTCTCCAGATGAGTTTTTCCAAAGATACAGTCATTTCATGTTTATGTTTGTTTAGGAATCAATTTCACAGGTTTGCTAAATCCGTTACCATTTCTCCATTTGCTTTCTAGCTTCTAAAATGTTGCTGCTGTTGTCTCCTTTCCCTGTCCCTTTGTTCCTACATGGCCTGGAGGATAATACGTGCATTCGCCGCCTGCCTCTCTCCCCCCAGCTCCCAGTTTTCAACTGGAAGTCCCCATTATTTCTTTAGGATAATTTTATTAGACGACAACTGCAGGATCGCGCTGAAAGGTTTTGACAGAAATTACCAGATTGCCCTTAAGTTGTATGTATATGTGAAAAGAGGAATACTATTATGTAATAATGGTTTTGCCACAAGTATTAAGCAGCTTTCAGGAGCATTGCGTGCACGCACCCATCCGCCTCAATCCTCCGCCTGGCGGCGGCCGGACACAATACAAGAAACGGCTTAAAAAGCAGTTAGAGATACGCACAACAGCTGGGCGCGGACCGAGAAAAACTGCTTAACTAGGCCTAGCGGCTAGATGGTGCCTCTCTGGAACTGACTGAGGGTGGGAGGGGGTCCGATATCGTTGGTGATTGGTTGGCCTCTCTGACCAATCGTGCGCAGCGAGTGGTTTTGCTAATCGTCGTGATCCACCTCCTCGTGGGCTTTGGAGCCACATTGGCAAATGGGACTAGGGCACATAAGAGAGACAGAACACTTAGCCAGTGACACCTTGGGGCGTTGATGGGCGGGATGAGGCCGCCGCCAGGTTTAGGGCGGAAGGAGTTGTTCTGGATTAGAAGGGGAACGAAAGATGGCGGCGGGAACGCTGCTGTCCAGTCTGTTGGGGCTGCTACTTCTGGGGCTCCTGTTTCCCGCAAGTCTGACCGGCGGTGTCGGGAGCCTGAACCTGGAGGAGCTGAGTGAGATGCGTTATGGGATCGAGATACTGCCGTTGCCTGTCATGGGAGGGCAGGTGAGGAGGCGTAGAGGGGACGAGGGTCCGGGGCAGAAGGGGAAGGGGGAGAAGGTAGAGGAAGAAGGGCAGCTGTGGAGTCTGTGGCGGGAGCCTAAGGAGAATCGGGAAGAGTTAAGCAGGGGTTTTATGAGGACTCCGGAGGGTCTTAATCAGAGACCCATTCCCTTGGGGCCAGGGCCTGGGAGGGGTGGGGCTTCCCACTGTCCACTTCAGGTCCCAGTTCCTGATTGAAATACTCAGACTCCTCCCCCGTGGAGAAGTGGGAGTGCCCTCGCCCCTCACCCGCTAAACACAGCTGGAGGACTTGTGGTTCACTCTGTCTTGACTGGGCTCTTCCCCAGGATATGAAGAGGGATCTCGTTGTTCTCCCTGATCCCAACCTCTCTTTGCCTCCCTGCCCCCCGACCCCCACTTCTTTCCCAGAGCCAAGCTTCAGACGTGGTGATTGTCTCCTCTAAGTACAAGCAGCGCTATGAATGTCGCCTGCCAGCTGGAGCTATTCACTTCCAGCGTGAAAGGGAGGAGGAGGCACCTGCTTACCAAGGGCCTGGGATCCCTGAGTTGTTGAGCCCAATGAAAGATGCGCCCTGCCTGCTGAAGGTGAAAGGGACTGGGATGAAGGGAGCTAGGGCTTGGAAACTATCTATTTGGGAACCATTGTGCCTGTGAATGAGGAGTGATGGGGAGAATCTGTTGGAATTAAGAAGGCCATTGAAGGAGTAGGCATATTGTACAGACAGGAAAGAAGCAAAGAATCCTGTAACCACTGATGACACTTTGCTGAATGTAGAGGAGAGTTAGAAGAGCTCAGAATAAGGGTTAAGCTAAGATTGAGGTGCTAAAGAGGGTCAGTGTGGGGCAGTAGGGGCACTCCCCTAGAGAAGCCTTCCTGGCAAAGTCACCCCCTCCCCTGTCACTCTCTGCCCAGTATCCCATTTTATTTTCATCATGGCACTTTTCATGATCTGAAATCATCTTTTTAACTGAATCGTCAGTTTATTCATTTTTGGTCTGAGTCCTAGCACTAGAACGTAAGTCTATGAAGTCAAAGAATTTATCTTGTTCACAGCTGTATCCCCCGTGGCTAAAACAGTATAAGGGAGTTCAGTTAATACTTTAATATTCTATGTTTCCCTGGTCTGAGTGCTACAAGGTTATCATGGTTTCGTATCTTTATGGACGACAAAGAAGGATTTTTTTTCTTTTTTTGGCTGTGTTGGGTCTTAGTTGCCGCACGTGGGATCTTCGTTGAGGCACACGAAATCTTTCATCGCGGCGCGCGGGCTTCTCTCTCTAGTTGTGGCGTGCGGGTTTTTCTTTTCTCTAGTTGTGGCACGCAGGCTCCAGGGCGCGTGGGCTCTCTAGTTTGAGGCACGCGGGCTTAGTTGCACCATGCTATGTGGGATCTTAGTTCCCTAACTAGGGATCGAACCCACATCCCCTGCCTTGCAAGGCAGATTCTTTACTACTGGACTACCAGGGAAGTCCCCAAAGAAGGACTTTTTTATAAAAAGAGAAGAGTGGAAAGCCTACAGGTGCAAACCACTTAGGCTGTAGAGGTCTCTCTCCAAGTCACAGAAGGCAAACAGCCCTCCCTCCTCACCGAGAACCTGAAGGATTGAGTGTGGAAGCAGAGGGAGATGAAAAGTAAATGAGAGCTTATGTGTCTTGGAGCCAGGAGAGATTCTGGTTCCAAGAAGAGACATCTGTACTCCATCCCCCGATTGTTCATTTTTTTTATTGTCAGACCAAGGACTGGTGGACATATGAATTCTGCTATGGACGCCACATCCAGCAGTACCACATGGAAGGTGACTCCCGCCTACATTTTTCCTAAGCCCTCAGCAACCTGTCATGGAAGGTGACCTGCCTCCCCAGTTCCCTTCCCTCCTAGTCCTCTGAGGACAGGGTAACCATGCTTCACTGTGCTTTCTCTTGCAGATTCAGAGATCAAAGGTGAAGTCCTCTATCTCGGCTACTACCAATCGGCCTTCGACTGGAACGATGAAACAGCCAAGGTGGCAGGAGTGTGGGATTGGGAGAGAAAGGGGTCTGGGCTGCAGACTGAGAGCCCTGACGAGAAGGGGAGGGTCGGGATTAGCTGACGTGTTTCTCGGGGTTTGGTGGCTATTAGGATAAAGTGCTCTTCTTCCCCCTTGCTGTCTTTCTCACACCCCTCCCTGCTGCCTGATGTCCTCCCCAGGCCTCCAAGCAGCATCGCCTGAAACGCTACCACAGCCAGACCTATGGCAACGGGTCCAAATGCGACCTCAACGGGAGGCCCCGGGAGGCTGAGGTTCGGGTGAGTCTTGGGAGAGGGAAGTTGACACTCCCCCAGTGACAGCTCAGATTCTAAGGGAAGAGGGCAGGGTTGCGTGGTATAGTCAAGAGTTTCTCTCCCAGACCCTAAACTCTACGTTTAAGACTCATATTTCTAGCTTCACGTCACTGCCTGGATTTTCAGAGGCAGTTCAAGTCAACATTTCCCAAATCCTCCCCTCTGAACCCCCAACCACACTTTTATCTGTGTTTCTCCTTTTTGTCACCTAAGCTGGACATCTGAGTGTCATTATTGACTCTTACTTCTTAACTTTGTCCTCCTTTCATCATTTAACGACTCTGCAGTGAGGTCGTGCTGGTGTAGGTATCGGGCTCTGCTCTGGGGGTAGAGTGGTGAGCAGACACGCAGCCCCTGCCCTCGTGGACTACAGTCAGGAGAGGAAGACAGAGATTAAAGAATCACAGAAATGAGCCTGTGATTACAAACTGAGAAGTGATATGGAGGAAAGGAATCAGGGTCTACAACAAAGTCCACTCTCTACTTCTAGACTTCTCTCACAGCTCGCCTCTTCTTTCCCATGCTTGGTACCTTCATCTCACTTGCAGCACTGCCAACAGCCTCTTAACAAGTGTTCCCCATCCAGTAGTCCTTAACTGAGTTCAGGCAGACAGCTGTATGGTAGGCAGAGTTCCTCAGGTGATTCTAATGTGTATTCACAAACATAAACACCTGTAGAGAACCACATGACAGAAAAATTATCTTCATGTAATACAGATTTGCACATGCAGCTGTGTGCTGGTAAATGCAGAACACCGGGATCGCCAGGGTAGGGTGGGGTGGTGGAGGGGGAAGCCCAGATGTAATGTTTGCCAGTATCCATGGTATAAATATCCCCATCATGGCAAAATTTATGCTATCACTGTGATGTCAATCATCTTGCAACATTCCTGAAAACTTACCAGTTGGCTCTGGAGAACTGGCCTGAGCTGGCTTCAGCACACCACTATGAGCAAGTGTCCCTTCTCTACCGAGTTCTGGAAAGCCTTCAAAAATTTTGCCTCACACAAAGGATAAGATCCAAATACTTCAGCACAGGCTGGGGTGGTAGCAGTGGAGGTGTTGGGAAGCAGCCAGATTCTGGATATATTTTGAAGGTAGAGCCAAGATTTGTTGATGGATTGGATGTGTGGTGGAGTCAAGTATGACTCCAGGGATTTTAGCTCGAGCAACTGGGAGAATGGAATTGTCATTTACTCAAGTGGGAAGAAACGGGTTTGGAGGAAGAAACTAGGCTGGTGTTGGACATATGAAGGTCAAGATGCCTATTAGATATCCCAGTGGTGATGGTCAGTTGGTAGTTGAGTCTGTAACTCTGGAGTTCCGGGACAGGGTCTGGGCTGGAGATATAACATATTACTGCGTTTCTGTCCCACTGCCCTTCTTCCTGTCCTTTGAACCAGTGAGTCTCATTGTTCCCTCTGCCTAGCGCCATCTTCCCAGAGATTTTTGAATGGCTGGCTCCATCCTGTCAGGTTATATACACCTATGACACCTCCACGGGGAGACCTAACATAGGCACACAGACACACACACCCTTCCGCCTTGATCCTGGTAAACACCTACGGTGTTTTATATTCTTCAATGCATGTATCGTTTCCTGAAATTAGCTTATTTTTTGAGTTTGATCTCTCTCTCTATCCCCAGTAGAATAAACTCCAGGAAGTCAGGGACAATGTCTGTCTCATTTTATGCTGTATCCTCAGTGCCTTCAACAGCGCCTGGCACCAAGTAGGTGCCCAGAGGTTGTTTATTGAATGAATGGAAGAAATGATAAGCCATTTCAAATGTCACTTTATTTTATGTGACCTTTCTTGGCTAGCCCAGAAAGTTCATTGTGTTCCCTCAGCGCTTCATATACATACAACCACGTCCACATATATCCACGTCTTAGCCTGTTTGGGCTGCTATAACAAAATACCAGCTGGGTAACTTATAAACAACAGAAATTTATTTCTCACAGTTATGGAAGCTGGAAGTCTGAGATCAGGGTGCCAGCATGGTTGGGTGAGGGCCCTCTTCCAGGTCACAGACTTCTTGTGTCCTCACAAAGGAGCTCTGTGGGGTCTCTTTCATAAGAGCATTAATCCCATTCATGAGGGTCCCATCATCATGACCTAAGCATCTCCCAAAGGCCCCACGTCCTAATACTATCACAGTGGGCATTAGGAATTCAATATACGAATTTTAGGGAGACACAGACATTCAGACTATAGCAACCCACAGCATCCACACACATATATGATCTATTATAGCACTTGATTGTATTGTTTGTTTCTTTACTTGTCTGTACCTTCAGTAGGCCGAGAACTGAAGGCATTTTCCTCACATCTGCTGAACCATATGCCCTGTGCTAAGCACTGGAGATGAAATGGTGACTGAGAGACCCAGTCCTGCTCTCAGGAGACAGACATTAAATAAAGAGCCACAGGAAGCAGGATAAACTCTCTGATGGGTGAGGCACTTTTCACAGGGGAGCACACAATAAAGGAACTAACTGAGTCCAGGTCAAGGGGAGGCCTCTGGAGGAGGTGACCTTTGAACCAGCAGTTGAAGGATGAAGAGTTAGTCCAGCAGCTACAGACCAGTGGGAAGGAGAGGGCGTACCAGGCGGAAGGTACAGTGAGTGCAAAAGACCTGGAGGCAGGAGGGATTGATAGCCGTTCCCAGTGACTGGAGGGAATTGTGGGAGATGAGGCTGGGCAGTCTTTAGGGGACAAGTCACAGGTCATGAAGCTCTGTAGCCGTGTTGAGGAGTTTGGACAACCTGAGAAACGAGGGGGAGCCAGGGAAGTATTTTGAGCAGAGTGGTGCCATATTCGGTGTTGGTTTTGAAGGCTCACTCTGGCTGGAGCATAGCAAATGGTTGGGAGACCAGTGAGAAGGTGGTTGCAGTAATCCAGGTGAGAAAACAAGGTGGTCCAGGGGTGAAGACATGTGAATTATTGGAGAGATTTAAGGGGCAAAATCAATACAGTAAGATTCCCAGGTTTCTGGCTTGAGCAACTGGATGGATGGTGATTTGTTTTTGAGATGGGTACAGTGGGAAGAGGAGTAGGTTTGGTGAAGGAAAATGATGATTTTGATTTTGAATACGATGATTTTAGTGGCTGTAGCCATCCAAGTAGAGATATCTGAGGAGGCTGTGGATCTGTGGGTCTGGAGCTGAGGAGAGAGATCTAAATAGAACCCAGAGTGCTGGAGCCATCAACATACTGTTAATAATCGAAGGCATGGTATGGATGAAATCCCCCTCTGCCCCCTGCCCAAGAAACAGGGTATAGTGAGAAGTGGGACAGAACTGTGAGGAAGCCAGCATTGAAAGCCTGGGCAGAAGGGAACTTTGCCAAGAAGAAGCGACCAGAAGGGAGACTGTGGTGACATGGAACCCAGGAAGGACCTGTCTCAAGGAGGGACTGGTCCGTGGTGTTGGCTGCATCTGAACCTTCAAGGAAGTGGAGAATTAAAAACTGCTTGTGGGTGATCATAGGAATTGTTATTTTAATAAAAGCAAAACAGGAACATGGAAATAAAAATTCAGACTGTAGGGATGAGAACTAGAGGAAAATTGGTAAGTCCTCTGCTCCCAGTCTCCCCTGACCAGTCCTTGGGTTGGACTCAATGCCAGAGGTCACTGGCAATCTCCACCAGAGCAGTTTCAGTGGGCTGGTGAAGCTGAGGTGTTGAGGAACGTGGTGAGGAAGTGGGAATCTTTGAAGAATTCTGGCTGTGAAGGGAAGGGAAAAGGCGAGCACTAGTTAGCAGGGCTGTGGGCTTGGGAAAGTGGGACTTTGTGCTTGTTGTTTCATGTGTTAAGATGGGAACGTGTTTAAATGCTGGGTGGACCTAGTAGAAAGGAGGCAAGGTTGAGGTTCAGGAGAAAGAATGAGAAGAGAATGTGGGCAGGGCTGCGATCCTGAGGAGGCGGCTCTGTGCTTGTAACTAGAACAGAAAGATGGCATATTTGCTGGGGAGTCTGGAGGTTTTAGTGGCAGAAAGTTGAAGGCGTTCCTCTGTGGCTGTTTTTATATCCTGATGGGCCACCCAAGTTCGTAGCCTGAGTGACTGAGTGAATCTCCCACTCCAGGGCAGGCCTGGTGAAGTTCCATCTTCCCAGTGCCTCCTTGGCGGGAGCAGTGTGCACAGCGTTTGGTAAAAGTGCAGTTTCTGGGGAGTTTGGGAGCAATTGGTTAGCCATCTGGAATTAAATAAATTTGGATTCCTATCTCAATTCGTACATTAAGTAAGATTTCAGAGAGATCTAAGATTTTTCCATTAAAATGTTTAATTATGAAACATTTCAAACATACAGAAAATAATGTCAAAGAGACCCATAAATTCACTGCCAAGTTAAACAGATGTTAACATTTTGCCATATTTGCTTCAGATCTGTTTTTTTTAATAGAAGGAATAAAATGCTAATGATATAGTAAAAGCCACCCTCTCATTTCTTCCCTCTCTCTCCTCTCCAGAAACAACCACAACCATCTCTATGCTTGCTTTGTACTTTTATTAGTGCTACACATATCACAGGCAATATATATATTTTGTATTTTAAAATTATACGTCGGTATAGTTTTGCTTTTTCACTAATCGATGTTTTGACCATTCTGTGGAGTGACATGGAGATCCAGTTCGATGATTTTTTTAAAAATAAATTTATTTATTTATTTATTTTTTGCTGCGTTGGGTCTTCATTGCTGCGCGGGGGCTTTCTCTAGTTGCGGCGAGCGGGGGCTACCCTTCGTTGCGGTATGTGGGCTTCTCATTGCGGTGGCTTCTCTTGTTGCGGAGCACCGGCTCTAGGCGCGCAGGCTTCAGTAGTGTGGCACGCGGGGTCAGTAGTTGTGGCTCACGGGCTCTAGAGCGCAGGCTCAGCAGTTGTGGCGCACGGGCTTAGTTGCTCCACGGCACGTGGGATCTTCCTGGACCAGGGCTTGAACTGTGTCCCCTGCATTGGCAGG